TTAGACCAGTCGGTACGATCTCTTTTTCTCTAGAAGTAAAATACCAATGCATTTGTGCGCTTTCCTTGGCGTTAGCTAAACGTTCGATAGGGTTAGTTATGAAGGATACTGATATAATGATATATATGAAGAATTACTTTTCAAATTAAAAAAAAAAATCCTTTCCTCGTTATTGTTTATCTTACTTGAATCTTATCTAACGGACCGCTACTTTCAAATCCGACTAGGATCCTCAGTTTCAACAATGGAGTGAACTTCTACTGTAGTTCCTCGAGGTGAAATCCTTTCTTCTTTATTGTTCAATATATACACATCAGACCAGCTGATATACCAAAATATATTGTAGCCGATTACGCTGACGATAAAGCTATTGTACCAATAGAAAAAAATATTCTAACCAGTTTCAACTTGGCAAAATTAAAAAAGGGAGACTATGTTTACTCAAAAAAAAAAAAAGAGCATCCTTAAAACTTTTTAAGCGTTATAATAGTAGGGAGACGCAAACATTTCTGAAAATTAGTTGGCGTACTCCGTCCCCTTCAAGTCGAGCACTGCTTCTAACTACTTCTGCGAATCTTAATCTAAGGTCCAGGTGGTAAACAAGATAGCGTATTAAACCTAATTCAAATAAATCAATTTGTACTACATTCACTTTATATCACACCTTCTGCCCTTGTGTCACCCTACATAACGTTCCTATTCCAATGTTTAACACAGATAGATACTTAGGACTCAACTTGGACAAACGCCTTGCTTTATAAATGTACCTTAATAAATACCTTGGTTGGCAATAAACATACCAAACTAAAAATAAAAGTTCTCATGTACAAAACTCTTTTTAAACCTTAAATGGATCTACGGTCTTCGAACGTGGGGCACAGCGAAAGTTTCCGACGCAATCAAAATACAACGGTTTCAAAATATAACTCCCATAAAATGTACAAACCCTCCACCTTTTATGTCCTCTACTCCTTGTACAAAGACACGAACAAATTGCATTGCACTGTAACCGACAAAAACTAATACTTCTGTTCTACGCGTATGTTTTACCTGAAAAACGTACGCATGCAAGCACGCAGTACTCATACACGCCTAGCAACCGGTTTCGTTGTTATTGTAATGCGTGTTATTTTTTTTTTATTCTTTCTACCAATTTCCACGGGACGCGCGGCAACACGTACGAAAACCGTACGCACGACGCGTTTTTCGATTTTTCATATTGTACACCGCGTGTTTCGGGTAAACACACAAGCGAGTGTGCACACGGTGTTCAAATAATATTTTTTCATCTCTTTCCGGCGAGTCGCGTTAACATTCGCCCTCTACAGGCATGTGCATCTATCGATAATACGTGTGAAATATAATTGTTTACGCGAGCGCGCATCGCCTTCAACATTCTATTGTGTTCCAATTCAATACGGTTCGATCGACCGAAAATCGTCCACGGTGAACGAACAGAACGCGCTCTTATAATAATAATAACGTATACAAATATACATACATACAAACGTTCTTGTACATAATAATTATGTACACTACACGGGAATCGGCTTTCTTCGGAAAAATCGGATCGTTATTCTCGTCATTACGTGCGCGTGCTCTTGTATTCCGTGTACATTCCATTAACGATGTAACAATAATATATTTTCCTTTTCCGTTCGATTTCCTTCCGTCCGTCTACCGCTACCGCCGTCCTCACTTCGCAGCAACAAGTCGAAAAGGTAACTGTTTAATGCACCGAGTCCAATCCGATTTCAAATATTATTTTATATTATCAGGCTAGCTCGGTCGTTCGGTCAGCGAAAATCGTAATAATATTATGTGCATCGTTCCCGAGAAAAGAACATAGGATTCGGGGGAAAAAAAGGATATGACCGGCTTGTAAGAATTCATCATCGCGGAGCGGAATATGAGTCATACATAGGTTTTCGTTTATGAATTCCTGGTACACTAAATTCTCGTTGTTCTTCTTCACACGTCGTCGGCTACAATTTTCAATCTCGAGTTTCGACCTTGTAGCTGCTGCAGCGATGTACGCGCACTGATTGCGGTACCTTCACGAGACCAATAGGGCTAATAATAATCAACGATTAATATGAACGATTGCGCAGAGTAGCACTGCAGGATCTAAGACGATTCGTAAACAGACATCATCGTGTGAAGATGAACAAGGAAAAAGTACCTGTCCTACGACAGGATGTTATGTCAACCAATGTATCCGATTAAAATACATACGTGACCGTCGTCATCATAGAAATGGTTTTGATTTTTACCAATTTTCGTCATGAGTTATACAGAAAATCAATATGCTGTACACGCGCGCTCATTTTGGATTATTCGATTTCAAGCGACGTAAACAGTTGGGTCCAATATTTTTTTTTTCTGTTAAATGATAGTTAAATGATAGTATAAATAAAAGGTACTATGATATTTGGTCCTAGTGTAATTTTTTTTTGGGAAAGGAGAATTATTTAAGTTTTCTCGCACCAATTCTATGACACAGAGACGTATTCAGAAATTTGGCGCTCGGGTGCTAACGTTCCCCCTCCCAAAAAAAAAAAATTATTTAACTTTTTTCACTTACTGAGCGCGTCGGAACTTACTTTCCAGTAACCAGCCGTAGGCCGTATAACAGACTTTACATTATCGTTATCTTTTCGAGCGCCTTCTAACTTATTTGTTACATTTTTGTTTTTAATGTTTTTTACACAGCCCATTTCATGAGCTGTGTAAAAATCTGATGTCACCCCTAAAAAAATACCACCCAGGGCGATCGCCCCTCCCCTAAATACGTCACTGCTATGGCGTAAACTTATTCGATCACTTCACGTTCGTGTAAACAACCAATGACTAATCCATCCGAACATTCTACATTTTGAAAAATCAATTCTTCCATTTAAGATCATTATTTGTATAAGTGCTTTTAACGTGCAATCTCTACATGCCTATATTATTTATATTTATGAAAAAAAACTTTTGGCGCTTATTCGGTAGTACACGCGCGCGCACACGTATTTTCATAATTATCATTATTCATCTCAAAATTCGTAACCGATACATTCGACGATGATTACCAGTATCGGTTCGTCGTATTTATAATACTCGCCTAATACATAATCACGTGCACCACGACGTAAACAACTTGATACTATTTCCGGAAGTCCGTGTCCTCGCATATATTTATTTTCATCGTCGGAATAAAAATAAAATAAAATTACGGATGAGTAAACATCACGTGTTCGTTATATATTATATAATATAAATATATATTATATAGGTATACGAATTAAACAATATATATTTACCGTTTAAGACTATACAGCGTAAACGCCATTCGAATTCATACGCATCTATAATAATGCATTGTAAAACGAAACGGTGATTCGAGCGGATACAATTGTTCGTAAATGCATAAATATGTACAACTGTATAAAAAAGCGTATTGTCAGAAGTAACTACAAACACGGTTCGGTTATAGATGGTAATCACTTTACCAACAGTACTGTAGTCGCCTGACATTAAAAATTTTGTAACAGGAAGTATAATTATCATGCCTGCTCCTTAGCTACTTCCTATCAAACTACTAACCGTAACTTATTGATTGGATCCAAAAGACAGGAAAAAATAATTTTTAACTATAGATTATCTGAGACGACAGTTTTGGATTTTTTAGCCACAACCCACTGAGTTATCTGTATACATTTTTCTTTAACAACATTAACAAACTACAGTAGATTATTTATTGATATCATCGGCATGTCGTCTTCATAAACTTCTTAATAATCGTTGCACAGAGTTAAAAGATACAAACAACTATGATTATAACTTTTATGTCTATACAATTCCTCCTGCCCAAAACATCCGTCATCATAACATTTTAACATTTGGAAATTTATCGCAATATTTAAAAATAACTCGGACAGGATAATGTAATTTTACTGTAATTGATTTGAATGCAATAATTGCATTCGATAAAAAACGATTCTGAGCGGACGAAGGAATCTTTTTTATTTAATTTTATTTGTTTCTATGGTGATAAACAAAGCGTTTTAAGAACAGCTTAAGAACGATTTATATAAATAGGTAATTTATATAATTATAATTATAATTTATAATTAGGAAATATCATAAAAACGAAAAAAAATATAAAATAAAAGAAAAAGCTCAAAAGTCGCTCAAATGTTTTGAAAATTTTACCGTGTCTTGGTTAGGATAATATAAGTAAATAACCTAAATTTAACCGAATTACAACAAAAACTCCCAAAATTAAAATGTCTATAAATAGCTTAAAAATGGTTAACATTTTCCGAACTTTAAACCACAAGGAACAAAATCCAAAATACAATAAAAAAGATCTCTTGTCATTTTTCATTTGAAGCAATATTTCTGGTAGAAAAAATTATCCGTAATTATTTAATATTATAAAATCGTGAAATCGTACATTTTTTCTCCTTTAATCGCTTTTATTTCGAGTAACGTTTCGAAAATCGAAAAATGACCTCTCTAAAATACCAACTCAAGAACATTACCTTTCAGAAATAATGCTACACTTGATACTTTTGAGCAAGTTTAGAGGGAGAAAAAGTGTTAACAAAATAAAAAAGAAAAATAAATAACCATTACATTTCTAAAAAGTAGAATAATTTAATTGAATTCGAGAAATATAACAACTGTAGAAATCGAACAATTAATAACATAATAAAATTGATTTTATTATTTTTAGCCGTTTGCCATTTATTCAAAATTAATTTTATTTGTTTTTTAATTTCACTATAAATGCATTATAACTCATATATATTTTACTATAAATCGTGGTGAATTATTCTGCAATGAATTGAACGTGGTCTTTTTCAAACTAATTAGATGTCAAATCGTTAGTTATGAGAGCTCGTGTTTAAAGATTATTTAATAATAAATGTATTACATTAATTGCTATAGATTTTTGTTAAATATTTATAATCAAATATTGTTTTGTCAACTTTGGTATGTGTTGTCCATTTTTTTTTTTTGAGTTAAAGATGAAAAAGCTACTGTGAAAAAATTGATAGAATAAATAAATAAATGGTCTTCGTCCTCGTATGTCACATAATATAGTCAATATTGGTTAAATCATTGTTTAGTCTAATCGTATTGATCACAATTAATTTTTAAATATCGTTGACAATATGACTTCTGATAAGCCTTCTGGATATATTTTTATCAAGTTCTGGAAAAGTTTTAGTTCTTAAGGAAATTACTCACATATCTTATTTTCACAAAACAATCAGTCCATTTTTCTTAAAAAGGTGCTAAAAATATTAAAAATATTCATCAGTATAAGATATTGTTATATCAGATAAGAACTGACCAACGATCATTAGTTTATGAATTTTGTAAATAATTACCTAGTTAAATTTGACTATTTAAGTATAATTTTCATACAAACATTAAATAACGAACAACTGCTGTATGCACTTGAATGTTTAGTTTTATTTCTTCAACGTATTCACCATAACAGAGATTATATTATAGCAAGTTGTTAATACCTAAAATCAGGTTCAATTAATAATTTATAGGCATTTACTATTTAAAAAAAAAAAATGTCGGTAATTTATAAAATGCTAAGATAACGATTACGTTTAAGAATTGTTGTAAGTCGACATGCCTTCGGGGCGAAGCTTTCATTTGCAACCAATTGACGTTATTCATGTTCATGGCTAATAATAATAATTTTTTGGATTTCAAATTCATATTCGTCCAATCACTAGAATATATACTGAAGTTGACAGAGTCTTTCTGCATAAAGTAATTTACATTATTTAATCAAGTTTATAAATAAATAGTAAATATTATGAATACAATTTTTTACTTTATTATTCAAATTTTCAAATAATTTACAGTATAAATATATTTGAAAACACACGTAGAGATCTGTACTTGCGATTTTCACTAAGTAGAAGACTGAAGACAATTCTGACGAAGAGAAAGTCTATCAGCAAAGCATATTTGTAATTTTAAAATATATGAAACATTTTTTATACATAATATAATATTTTTACATTTACCACAATAAACGTGAACGTCATTGTTATAATAATGCTTGAACAAAATACAGTATTCGCCAAAACTATTAATCTTGAACATTTATAATACGATTTCATTTTTCTAAAAAAAAAAAAAATGCTATTAATGTAACATATATTATATTGAAACTCTATAAAAATGTATTTCACTATTCATAATTTTAAAATATGTATATTTTTATTATGTCTACAATTTAGACAAAAAATTAGAACACGTTAAGAAACAAAAACTTAATTATAGGACAAGGATACACAAGAATAGAAATCTTACACTCTTTAATAAATTATAGGCCGAATTAGTTTGCTGGCTTGCAATGTTCCCTATTGCTTCGTTATATGGAACACTTTAGTTGCGTCCCGTAAATAGGCTATACACGAATTACTTCCACTATAACTATAATTTTTTTCTGGTCCCTAAGTGTTCTCGTGTTTGTTTAATCCTATTAAACTATTTTGTTAAATTTTGGGAGACAAAAGCAAAAAAGTGGGAAAGTCGATCTAAAGAAGACTTTACGACGAATTTACATCAGTTTTAAAAGTCCTTATCGCATCAATAATTTGATCGGTACCTTGGAAATAGAAAACATCTAAATCCCTCTAGTGCACACTTGTTAGAAAGAGAAATAATAGCATAGCATGCAATCCCCTTCGGTCACATTTTTATTAACTTTGTATTAAACTTAATTTAACTATACCAGGCGATGAATTTTTAATTCAAAACCGGTCAAAACTGTACATAACAAATATAATAATACGTATATTTATTTATTTCTATACATAAACTATTTGTTTGTTTATATATTACAAGTATATTATTTGTATTTCATTACGCAAAATTTACACAAATTCATATATATATTTAAGTCATTTTTATAAAAAAAAAAAATGTAGTACACCAAGAAAAGTATTTAAAAAAAATACTTACAAAAATAGTTTAAGTTGATCATAAAGAACATTTTTTAATTCAATATTTACATCCATGTGACCAATATCATTTTCTGAAAATTAAAGTAAATGATTCTATAGTTTTTGTACATTTATTCATTTACGTTTTACATTTCTTACAACATAATTCATTTAAACTTTCGTTCGAGTAGGTTAGTATAAAATTATATATAGAATTATATAAAAATTATACAGAATAATTAAAAAATATTAACCGGATGGATTAAGTGTCAAAAAATATATTATAATTATGTTTCCAACGATTATTATATAGCTATATTTTCGATAAAAAAAAAGTGCAATTATCTCGAAGTCTGTACTATATAGTTGTTGAACTTAACTCTAGTACAATAAAATGGATCAAAAGAAATTTTAAAATATTATTACCCGTTAGCCGTTTATTTTCGTGTTTTAGGTCCTTGAAGGTCAAGCAGAGTACATTGTACTGAAAAACTAAAATCCAACCGTAAGACAACAAAAACATATCAATCATATTAAAACAGTACGCCAACATCAGTATAAACATAAATTCTATTATGAAAAATAAAATATAGTACTGATTGTATACGGCCGTGTTAACCGGGAACGGCATGTTTATTATGTTCGGGATGCGTGTATTTACGTTTTCATGATCAAAAAATAATACGTTTTTCAGAAGACCAAATAATATCCATTGAATTCCAGTTGTCGCATTAAAAATAAAATAAAAGTCGGTATACTTTTTAATTCTGTTTCGACAATCATATAGTATGTTATTGTTTTTACAACATAGTTCACTCTTCAAAAAGTCAATACGTGTAACGTCAAGCAAATCCACAAGATTTTCAAGACGATATAAAAGTAAGCATGTTTCAAAAAAAACAAGAAATATTATCACATTAATCACTATGATCAATAGAAAATCGGCACTACTAAGCTTATAATCCACATTGACAACAAATCCTAAATTTGAGTAAACGAAAAGAGTAAAATTAATCACGAAGATTATAGTGAAAATTAATCGACTGATATTATATCCAAATATCTTTTTTCCATTAGGATCGATAAGGTTGTAGTAACGACTTAGTTTTAATAGTTTCAAGTTAATGATAACTTCGCTATCTTTATATGTGTCCATCGTATAGGGTTTATTATATTAGTTGGTGCGATCTGTAAAATATAAAAATTAGATTATTGTGATGGTATTCATCATCGGGATACATCAAATTTTTTTTACGATTTCAACAATAAAATCGTTAGTTCGTAATTCAATAATATACACATTATTGCATATACATTTTATCTGATCCTGAGGTTTCTAATTTTTTTTTAAAAAAATTAATCTAAGACACGATCTTTTAGCGTGTATGTATTATACTTTTAATATATTTTATTATATGAGTATTTACATCACAATTTTGCTATGTTCTAATAATTTTTTAATTTTTTTCTGTGATAAATAAAAAATAAATTTGTATGTTTTAAATAAAATGATATATCTAACAATTAGCAACCTTTTAACCTTTTATACTTATACCACTTATATATCTATATTCAATAAATCCCAACGATATGTAATTACAATTTTATATTACTGTAATTGATCTAATGTAATAAAAATAATCTAATGTAATAATAGTAATAATAATAATAATTATTATAATTATTATTATTATTATAGCCTAGAATAGAGATACATTTTACACATGATAGTATATTTTATTACCGTATTACAGGGGTGGTCAACATGAATAGGTTCACGGGCCACATGAATAAATACTATAATTTCAAGAGCCAAAATGTTTATAGATTAATTTTAAATAATTTGATAATTTTTAATAAATTTAGACCAAAAAATAAAAATTCAGAATAATAATAACATAATAAGTCGATTTTAATTTTAGAAATAAAACTCAAGCCGCATCTAACAATGACAAGAGCCACAATATGAATCTCGAGCCGCAATTTGGCCACCCCCACCATATTATAACAAAATAAATGATTCATAATCATCACTTATTGTACTATATACTATTTACATACTATTTATAGGTTCTAAAATACCTGAAATTCAGAAATAAAAATAATTTAAAAAATAATAATATCAGAAATAGTAAATTATTTTTATTCGCAAAGCTAACAATTATACTTATTTTCAAATATAATTACTTTTTAGAGCATCTACCAATATTGTTCTCAGATATGTACTCGATAACTCTATTTAACAGAGTATGTAGCAGTATCACCTCTGGTTTGAAACTGATATTGAAAATTTCCCATCATCAATTTGTTAAAAATATTTATTATTCTAACTTATTCCAAAAATCGATATCTTTGTTAAATAATCAAATAATATTGATATTTATATGTACTTAGGCTAAAAAAAATATCACGCAAACTATTGAACTGTATAATACAGTATATTATTGCATCAATATGCATACAAAGTACCATACCCACCATAATTATAGTAGAATTATCATTTAAATTTATAAAGTGCGGAAAACAAGAAATCCTACCGATGAACTATTAATAAATAAATTAATAATGATATTATTTGTAAAATTATACAATCCATAATATCTTACGTTGACTTTTATGACCTACATCGTACCGTATTATATTTATTTTTTATTGAAAAAGTATGGCAATTTACAATCAAACCTTTGAGAATAAAATTCTCATAAATGTGCGTGCTTCAAACAAGTACATGAAATAGTTAAAAAAAAAATGAACTCACAGATTTCGAAGAGGACAAGCATCTACGGATGAAAAAATCGCCCTGTAAATAGTTTATCCATACTCGTATGTATACGATACATATGTATATATATATACATATGTATATATATATATATATATATATATATATATATATATATATATGTAAAATATTACAGTAAAAGTGAGTGGTAACGCCAAACTCAAAACGTTAAACGGTTTCACGTCTTAAATATAGATGCGGTACCCAGAAATGCGCATAGAACATGTATTTTATCTATACATTTTTAATATTTCCTGCTAAACTGTCGATTCGTTTTTATTTTATATAATTTTATTGATGTTAATTGTATCTTCTTCACCGGTCATTGTAAAAACCATAGCTCTTACAACAGGTAATCTTCTGCAATCGTGTGATTTCGTGTGACAGAATATGATTTTACGATATTTCCATTTATACATTCATTTGCAATTTTTTTAAAACATTTCGTATTTTTTCTCAACGTTTCTCTTTGTTTTTTTTAAAAAAAAATCAATCATTTTTGTTACATATTCATTATGTTTAGCTTCAAGATGTTGTTTTTAGTTTTTATGGTTTCAATATCTTGTTTAATAAATACCTCAAAACATATTACCTACACATTGAAGTTTTTTTTTTCAGAGCCGTTGCACGTGAAACTCAGGGAGATACCTTATTTTATTTTTATTTTTTCATACATGATGTTTTCTCAATAATTCTTCCTTTTAAAATTTAACCATCGGTCCATTTTTAATTTAAATTCCTTTAAGATGATTTGAAAAATATTACATAATCATTGTAAATTACGTAGACATGCTCTAATTGAGTTCAATCGATTGACTACTCATTGATATTCTCAGTGGTAATAATTATACGAGTGCAGTCTGATGTGTTGAAATAAGTTACATAAAAAAATATAAATAAATAAATGTTCAAATGTATACATCAATTGCATTAGATCACATGTGTCATGTAACCACCGATAGAGCCGTCACGTTAGGTACATCTGGAAAGTTTAGGTTAATGTTAGGTTTATTTTTAGACATTTTTTAGACTCAATACAAGGTTCTATATTTAACACTTTACTCCATCAATATGTTTAGAGTTTGATCTCTCCATATTATGTGCAAGTTTTAAAGGCGTATATTATGTCTTCTAAGCACGTGTATAAAATTATATGCACATATGAAACAATAAGATTTGCTCTCATCAAAAACCATATATCAATTGACCGGAACAAAACAACGAACGCAACAATAATAATAACGAATATATTATTATAATTTTTTTTTTTATTGAACTATTATTTTACAACCCGGCATCATAGGCCATTAGTTTATTATAATTTATTTTTATTGAGGATAAGATTTTTATATCTAAGATCACTAGCCTAACTCTTGCGTAGGTATACTTAGTAT